CTTAGATATATTAATGAAGAACATACTTTACCTGGAAATGTTGTTGAACATAATAGTAGTAGTTATATAACTTAATATTTAAATTTTTCTCATAATTATTTCCTATAAAAATTTGATTTGTTTTATAATTGAATAAAATTCGTTGTCGAACTTGCGAAGTGTAAACTTCCAATCAAAAGAGAACCATCTCTAGCATTGTTATATTGCTGCAGGGTTTAATTTCTGATTTTGCCATAATCATATCACATCTATGTTTTGCTGTTATTAGTATATTGGCATAACATCAATTTGTATAATTAAATATGCTTGTCGATTGTCTCTTCACTTTTTTTAAAAAAATTTCAAAATTATAATTGAAAAATTGGAGGATTTTTGAGTAAATGTCCCGTTCAAAGTAGGGTCGGTCTACGGTCGTCAAAAGCCTTTTAACCAATCGATCTTAATCGACCATTGAATTTTCACATTATTAGAACGTTTTTATCAAATATAATGGTTTTTTGATTTTTACTTTAATATACTAACATGGAATTTTTTAAACTTCATAAAAAAAAAAAATTTTTTTTTATTATATTAATATTTTTGAACTAAATATTTATTTCTTTTTTAGGCTTACACCTTGATATGAATTTTCTTTCATTAAGTTTACCTTCATAATTAGTGGCACAAAATTAATTATCGTTTGGATTTTAATGATTTAAAAAATTTTTTTTTGATAAGATTGTCAGGTAAAACCCAGAATTACGACAACATTGGAATCGAAATCCGTCGAGACATGTCATCGAAATTAAAGGATTCGGCTATTTACAAAGGGATTTGGGCTATACCTTATACTAATACTAACACTAATACTAATACTGACACTAACACTAACGCTTACACTATAAGGTAGAGGATAAGGTAGAAATAAGAAATTTTACCTCAAGTAAAAAGGTTGTTTAAATATATTTGAAAAAAAAAGATTTGATCTGGCGTGATGGCACAGTCAGGTTGCATGATGAAACTGGTTGTTATTTTTCTACAATAATTGTATTTTCTATTCCTATTGTTATTATTAAATTAATTAATAATAAATAAATAATTTTATTTTTTTTCATGGGTGGGTGACTTTTTTATTATTTTACTTATTTTTTTTGATTAATAATCAAAATCTAGTGGCTTGTTTTTCGATTTTAGTTAGGGCAAATTCTGCCCTTTCGGAAGAACGTGGGTGCGGCACTTCGGATGGACCCATCGGCTCGTCACGGCGGCGCAGTCAGGTGGGTAGGTGACTTTTTATTATTTACTTATTTTTTTCTTTGATTAATATTTAAAATCCAATGGCTTGTTATTTTTGAATAACTATAGGCGCTTTACCCTTTATTGAAGTAAAAACAAATCTAAATTTTAACAAAATATTATTACAAATACAACCAACAACTATGTATCTTAACTGTATTGGGGACCAGCCTAGTAAATTAACAAAATGATAACGTGTCTAACCAACGGGTTACCCCCTCAGGTCCTTATGACCTTAGGAAACATGACCAAATGCCTGTGGGTTAATCCGGTCGTACTCAATCCAATTTTTTTTAATAATGACTGCTTAAATAGATCACTAAAAATAACTTTGATGATTCTACAAAACTCTAAGATTTTATATAAAAAATAATTTTTTCAACAACGGAATTATAATCCGTAAAACAACATTTAATGATAGCAAAAAAAAAAAAATTTGTTTTAATAATTTAGCTTATTAATGGATACAATTTTATTGATGTGATATATCAGTAACGAACCTGAATTTTTTTTGTAATTCAGAAAATAACATTAGCTAAATTTAATGAAGGTATGATTGTTAATTGATAAATTAAAAAAATTATGAAAAATATTTTTAATCCCGCTGTTATTTCTCCGTAAATTAATTAAAATTAGATAAGGTGATTATTTAAAATCACAAATAGGGTCAATTTTTTTTTCTCGTGATCTCGATTTTAAATTGCAACGACCTTTTACGTCAAAATAATAAAAAAGTATATAGTAACACCATCACATAAATTAAATTCCTTGAATCGGAAAAGGTAATAAATGAGAAAAATTAAAAAGGAAAGAAACACAATTAATGATAATGGAAGAAAATGAAATAGTTTGTTGTATTGCAGAAACAATATTAAGATTTGCGTCATAAATTGTCTTTATTGCATATAATGAAATTTCTAGATCTAAAAATTATCATATAACAAAGGGAAAAAACACGATCTATTTAACAATATTCCATTCATTTTCAAGATGCAATTTGACGTAACGCGATGATATCAGATGGGTGTAGCTTGTAGGGGATTGTTGATACCACGCAATCACAGACATAGGGCATGTGCTGTGTAACCTGTCGTGAAAATCGCCAGTCTTCGGTCAAATAATCACTTAAATAGAGATAGATGAATTCATAATCCAAGATTTACGATAGATAAAAATAAAAAATAAAAAATTTCATTTCTAAAATGCATCTTATATATCATCAACGTTCTATTCGTTCAATACCAAACCATTTTTTAATTCATATGAATTTTAACATCTTTATTCTTCTCATAACAAATATTAATGCACAATTACTTGCAGTTCAAGTAAGAAACGGTAATAGAATTCGAGAACGGGTGGACATATTGAAACAAAAACATTCAAAATGAAGCAAATCAATTTCAAGCTAACAAACCTAAATAAACTTGATATCATAATTAAATCGAAGGCTTTTCCTAAAAGAAATAGACGATTAACAAACAAAACAATTTATTATCACGATTTAATTGTGCAGTTAGTTATCATGATCAATCCTATGATGAAGACAAAAGAAGGTTGAAAGTGTAAAATAGTATCTTTATTAAACTGTAGAGTTATAAGTAATGCTCCGAACGGTTCGGTTCGGTCCGGATTATAGGCCAATCCGAAACCGAACCGAACCGAAAATTTCGGATTAATCCGAAAGTTCAGTTCGATATATTCGAATATCGAAGGGAGCCTAATGTGCGATTCTCTAAAGAGTTTCGCAATTATTCCGCGATTCCCTTGGAGTTTCGCAAGTAATCTGCGATTCTCTTAGAGTTTCGCAATTACTTTGCGATTCCCCTTGGAGTTTCGCAAGTATTTGCTATTCCCCTTGGAGTTTCGCAAGTATTTTGCGATTCTCTTAGAGTTTCGCAATTACTTTGCGATTCCCCTTGGAGTTTCGTAAGTAATTGCGATACTCTTAAGAGTTTCGCAATTACTTTGCGATTTTCCTTGGAGTTTCGCAAGTAATTTGCGATTCTCTTAGAGTTTCGCAAATATTTTGCGATTTCCC